TTTTTCAATGATTGGAGTGTCATCGTCGTCTAACTACTCCCTTTCCTATCCCCAGCCCTAAAGGCGAGTGGTTTCATTTTTGATTTTTTGAAAATACAGTCCTTATATTGATAACATCGTTGTAATTATAGGTTTAGGAGGTTCTCTGAATTTGCAGCTTTCATTAAAAAAAAAAATCTCTGGTTCCTTCCCTTTTATCACCATAAGGGAAGGAACTAGAGACTCGCTTTTTAAAAATAAAATGAAAGCTGTGAATTCAGAGAACCTGAAATAAATAAATAAACTTATCATTACCACAGTATGTTGATATTTTAGTGCCTTTTTTAAAAGCAGCCATTATATCGATATAAGTATGCACAAAAAATAAAGAAAAGGGGTGCTGTGATGGTAGCAATGATGACAACACACACCCTTGAGAATCCTGATTATTTAAGGCACATGTGGACAAAAGTAAATGGAGTTCACATCTGTGAAAATATGTGGAAGAACAGTGCCCAAATCAATACCAGGGCTTGTGGATTGACTGCCCTGTATTATTAATGTAAACGTTTCATGGTTTTCTGTGCCATAAGAAACTGGCAAAGGGTTACCTATGCACTGCAAGATCATCTGAGCCCATGGAACGTGTGTTTTCCAATGCGGCCCTTGCCGTTAATAGTCTGTGTGCAAGAATTACATTGGATGATGGTAACGTTAATTGTTCTTAACAGAAGCCCATAGTGGGGTCGATAATGTGTAAGACTGTGCATGCAATATGTATTCCGTTTCTGGCCGCACTAGGGGACCTCCTGATGGCACCTTGGTTTTGGCCACTGAGTGACACTGAGTGAGGGTTGAACTGGATGGGCCATTAGCCTGATCCAGCATGGCTTCTCTTATGTTCCTACATTCACTTTAGATTGTGAGTTTGTTAAATGTTTAAATGTTTTAATGATAACATTTTTGATAGTTCAGAGTGTCAGTTTATCAAATGAAATTTACATTCCTGGTCTTCAGGCCTTATATGGTAACAGAATGGAACTTTGTGTTCAGAGTCCCTGTACAGCTGTTGCTGGAGGGAGGGGGCAGCATCAGGGGAAGGCTTTGGCCTGTTGAGGGCTTGCCATTGTTGGAAAGCAGATACTGGACTAGATGGATCATGGGGCTAATCCAGCAGGACTCTTCTTAAGTAATTATATTTTTAGTGACTTTTATGACTATATTTTATATTTTGGGGGTTGTAAGCTGCTTTGAGGTGAGATAGAGGCAAGATACAAATCTTATAAACAAACTGGAAGGTATAGCTAGCGTGAAATATTTTTGAAGTTATGACATTTTCCAAAGTAGGGTTGCATTCATGTATTAAACAAGCAGAGAAGATCAAGGCACATGGTCATAATTTCAGTTATAAGTGTTTCATAGTACAGTAAGTCAAATAGAGAGGCTACTCCCAGGGTATTCCAGCATCATGCCTACATATCTTTTTAAACAGTTAATTTCCAAAATGACAACTCAGTCACGGGATCTTGTTCTGTGTATGAATGCTGTCGTGGGTAACTCAAGCTAGAGCACATGAGGGCATGGTCTACTTGCTTGGAGGTACAGTGGAGTTTGATCTTCTGGCTGTGAAATTCTGCTCAAGTATTCAGTTGCACATTGTTAGCCGAATTGCACCTTAAGGGAAACAACCGGTACAGTTATTATTGTTGGGATTCTTCCGTCTATGTTTACGGAGGATGGCACTGTTTCCGAGGTTCCCAATGAAAGACTGAGGCAAACTTCCTTAATAATAATAATAATAATAATAATAATAATAATAATAAACTTCAAGCGAAGGGGTAAGGATGGGAAGAAAATTGGAAAAGAATGGTGAATGAACTTAGACCAGCTAAGACCACATGCCAAAGAAACTCTAGCTGCGCAATACTAGAGTGTAAAGAAGGACGGGAAGGATATGGGATAGCAAGCTGGACTTAAGAGGGAAAGCAGATTCTATAGAGGACGTCGTTTGAGAGCGATGGGTTTTTTTTTTCAGGGTCAGGCGCAAGAGGTCAAGACGTGAAGGGCGAGAGAGCAAGAACTTAAGAGAGTGAGCTTTGGGTGCACTCCTGATTATATCAAAAGGGGTCTAGAGGAGGAGCTGGGTCCAGGGGACCTCCCCTATGGCACTCAGGTTCTGTCATAGCCAAGAGGTTAGCGATTGGCTACTGTATTTTTCTGGGTGTTCCAGGAAACTGGCGGGCAATTTGAGATCTAGTTGCTAACTCAATCAAGACACCTGGGCTAGGGGTATTCGTATGCAGATGGGTGACTCATGTCCATGCGGCCAGGCTGAATACCGGGTCTTTGTACGTGCAGCTTCGTTGGTGCGAGGGGCAGGGGGCCCTGTAGGTAGGTGACCATGTGGCTGGTTTGAAATGGCGTTTTGTGCTTTCTGTGACCACGTGCGTTGTTCTATGGCATGCACTAGACACGGGAACACCTTTGGAGTAGCAACCATTGGAAAACACGGTCTTCGGTAGGTACTCTCACCGGGCGCTCTCAGCATGTCAGTTTCAGGCACAGTTCGTTGTTGGCACACATCATCAGGTAACAGTGTAACCCAGTCCATAAAAACACCATAGCAGGCTTGCGGGCTAACAACATTCATTACACATTGGCAGTTGATATGCTGAGCAAGAAAATAGTACTCTACTTACTAGATAGATACAGTGGAATGTTATGCCATCCTGACATTGACTGTGTGTTATGTTTGTTTTTTGTTCAAACGATGGAAATTCTAATTTTGTCATAGAATGTACCTTTCTCTTTTTTGCTTTTTTTTTGGGGGGGGGATTTCCCCCCCAGAAAAAGCTAAGCTTTGTATTTATGAAAGTTATAATGATCAACCCTGATTGCATAGGCCAGGGGTGTCAAACATGTGGCCCGGGGGACAGATTAGGCCCCCAGAGGGCTTCTATCAGGCCCACAGTGGAACTGGCCATCTCCTGCTTCCAGTTCTGCTGCTGCTGCAGCATCATAGCTTGCTTCGCCGGACTCTCTTAATCACTCAGCCATTACCTGTTTTAACCTGGGCCCTAGACTTAGAACTCTGAGCATGAGATTTCTGTGGTGAATGTCAATAAATCAAAAGTAGGTTTGCAGCTTACAGAGCTCTTTTCAGCATGTTTTTATTTTAAGTAAAAAAAATATCTTTGTGTTTGTGTCCTTTATAAAGTTTATCTCTCCGCTACCTGGCATTACATTTTATGACACACGTGGCCCAGCCCAACAAGGTCTCATTTATGTCAGATCTGGCCCTCATAACAAATGAGTTTGACACCCCCGGCATAGGCTGTTGTGCTGGCTCAAAAATTCAGATACTTAGATGCCCATTATATGCCTTTAAAACTGTTTTGTTGCAAGAAATGCAAAACGATGCAGAACTTGGCTGGCAGATTTGATGTCAGGATGCTTTTTGCTGTGACTGTAGATGATGCAAGGAGGTTTTGTCAGGCAACCTAAGTCTTTGGTTTGGGGAAGGAGAAACTGATCCAGGGCTTCTGTTCCCTTCATGCCACACATACAGATCTGAGAGCCTACATGGCACCCCCTTTGAAGAGGTGCTTCTTCTTGTGTTTCTAGTTTTTTTGCTGAAAAGTTTTTCCATGACAATATTTTATTTATTCTAATCCAGCTTTTCTTCCCAGTTGGGACTCTTAAGTGGCTTTTATGATGTTATTCCCCCCTCCATTCTCTCACACCAACAACCTTGTGAGGTAGGCCAGGCTGAGAGTTTGTGACAGGCCCAAGGTCACCCAGTGAGATTCCATGGCAGAAGTGGAGATTCAAACCCAGGTCACCCAGGGTACTAGTTCGCCACTCTATCCATTACACCACAATGGCTCTCACTTTGGTATTTATTTATTCCAAAATGTGTGCCATATAAAATAATATGGCCAGCACTATTTGAGTATTTCAAGACCTATTGACTTCAATCCAAGAATTAAAGGTGGAAAAATTTGATTTCAGGCTTGTCAGTTTCTTTCTCTTTGAAATCCATTTCAGGTACATCATTTGCCAGGTCATAAAAAGCCAACTGAACTGTATGTCATTAGAAGTTGATTTGAAAATATTTTAGAGCAGTTTTTTAAAATTAATTTAATAATTGTATTCTGTGTTGTTGTTGTTTTAATTAAAACATAATGGATAATTTGGATGAAAGGGGGAAGGGGAATCTTTATACTTCCTTGATATTTCCTTTTAGTGTCTGGTCGCTCAGTATTCTTTGACTATTATCTGAAAGGCCTGTACAGGTATTTTGTGCAAAAGTTAAACATACTACAGTGTGGAAGATGCAGAACATCCATTTATTGGTCAGAGGAGTACATAGCCAAGCTCCTTGTCCCATTCTTTCTTCTTCCAGTTAATGAATGGGTTGTAGATCAGTTGTGCCATATGACTGGGATATAATGCATTGTTAAATAAAAACATTGGAAGCATAAGGGATAGAAAAATAGATAATGCTGCTTGGTAGAATGTTGTGTCTCTAATAAAAGACATGCCACCTAATCTGATGTGTGTTTAGTAGGCAGTAAGCTTACATTCTCATGTAAGTGATCATAGGACTGCATCCTTAAAACTATTCCTAATACTTTTCCCTCCCTTCATGTAATTGAATACTCTGTGTGGAAAAGCAGAGATTGAGGTTACCTTTTCCTTTTATTTATATGTTCTGTCCAAAATGCATGGTGCCATGCTTAAAGAGACACAAAATCATTCTATATCCCACCAGCAATCAATACTACCTAAAAATAATTTGTTTAAAAATAATCCATTCTGAAGGAAGTGGTGCATTTTGTAATATTTCATTCCACAATTAACTGTTACGCGTTTATTTTTTCTCGCCCCTTTCGCGTACCCTTTCACACTGTAGCTTCGGTGATTTTTCTGGTGGTGGCATCACATGGTTCTTTTACATTAAATTGTTCTAAAATCATTGTGATCAGCTGTGAGACATACGCTTTGTCTTTTTGTTTTAGATATGCCAATATTTGGTCTTTGCCCAGCTCATGATGATTTCTATTTGGTGATGTGTAACCACTGTAATCAGGTCGTAAAACCACAGGCATTTCAATCACATTATGGTAAGTGCTGAACTATTTTTTTAAATTCGTATCATTAGAGGTAAGGTGAAATCAGGATTAAGCCTGGAAAATTTTTATGATCCTTCTTTGTGATCTTTAAAGCCGATGGTGCCCATGGCATTACATAAATACAGTGCAAATATGAATCATGCTTTCAATTAATGCTCTTCTGCCATAAAAACTTCCTGTATGAATGAGTCATTGGGGGTATGATGTACTCCAATGAAATCATAATTAGAAAGTAATTGGGCTGATACAAAATGGCTTTACATAAATGAATATTGTTTATGGTATAGAAATTTAAATCCAACATGAAGGGTATTGGGGTGGGTCGTACTCAACATTTTAAAACTTCCAAGGTGGATCCAATCCAGTTTGCAAGTTGCAGAGAATGTAGAAATTACAGTTTAGCTAAGCATTATGTCTGAATATGTGTATGATTGTGTGGGGTGGAGAATTCGCCTTGCTGGGGGAAATATAGGCATTGAAAACATTTAAGATTCCTTAACAGCAGTTAGTACTTGCAAGGATAATTAATTTGCAAGAATTGAAACTTAGTATGCAAACAGTTAATAAATAGATACAGAGACTTCGAGGATGGCTTAAAATGGCCCCTTCAGCCACGGAAAGTTTTTTTTAAAGACGTTGAAATTTTACATCATGTGGGAGAAACATTAAATCCAACATATAAGATGGCAACTGAAGATCTTCGACGTGGTCTCTGTGCTTCACACCCATGGGATCTAGTGCGCACGCACTGGATCGATCGGTGTTGTAGCAAGCTTTTTAAATGGATTTTCGCACTCAGACCTCGGGAATGCGCAGGAACCCCACCGCGCATGCCCAGAAGAGTGGGTGCGGACATCCCGCCAGTTCCTTTCTTACCGCCGCGTTGGAACGACCTTTTTCTTCGTCGGTCTGATCGGTTCGTGTGTTTTGGCTTTTTGCCTCACGGCTCTTTGGATTTTTCCTCAGTTTATTCTTTTTCTTCGTTGTTCTTTCAAAAAACTTTTTAAAAAAACCTTTTATTTTCTGCTGAGGGGGAGGTTGCCGCTTTACCTCAGTCAGGCCTTTGGCCCACCCCCTCCTCACCCCTTCTTTCTTCTTCATTTGGGGTTTTATGGAGAAGAAGTGGGACTTTTTTAATAGGTGCAAGGGTTGCGGTAGTAAACGTGCTCCTCCTGACCGTCATACCCTTTGCATACTTTGTCTCAGAGAGTCTCATCGACCCGAATCTTGTCGCTACTGTGCTCGCTTTTCAAACCGGACCCGGAAAAACCGAGCTGCGCGCCTTAAAGTGGCCCTGCTAGAATCAGCTTTACATCCTTCCTCAGCGATGGACGCCAAGAAACCACCGACCTCAACAGCTTCGGCATCGAGGCCTGCCTCCGATGTCGGCCAACCGACACCGAAGCCTCCAGCATCGAAGGTGCAATCCTCCGCTTCCACGCCGGTGAAAAAGAAATCCAGGCCAAGTAAGGGACAAAAGTCTGCAAAGAAGGGCTCTTCCAAACCCCTTAAGGCGGCAAAGAAAGGGAAAGTAGTGGTGGCTGCACTGGGTGATGCCCCTAAAGTGTCTCCCGCTCCAACGACTGTATAGATACCGGAGGCAGAAGTCCCTCCACTGATACCGAACATCCATGTCTTGGACTCCCCTGTCCACCAAATGGAGCGTCCTTACTCCGACATCAAAACGGTAGAGCTCCTAAGTCATCAAATGGATGCAGAGCCTTCTCCGTCTCTTTCCCCATCATCGATGGTATCAGAAGCTCCCAACATCGATCCACGTCGGCACCGATATGTTTCTTGAGACACGCAGCATCACCCTCCACGTCTGCACAATCTGTCAATATTGACAACCAAGATTATACGGGCTCCTCTCAAAGACATGCTGCCGCTTTGTCTCCGAGGCGTCCACGGTCCAGAAGTCGATCCCCGCTAATCTTCTTACCCCCGCCACCACCTCTGTCTTGGGATCAACGACAGATGAGGTATCTGTATGGGGTTTATCCACCATCCGCTGACTCCGGCAAGCTATTCCAACTGGGATCGATATTCATCCCACTCTGCTCATAGATCAAGATCGCCCCACAGGTCGAGACCTTCAGCATCTCTCGTCCTCCTGCAGACAATCCTGCCCAGCATAACTTGGATCACAATCGTCCTCCCAACCCTCAGGTCATTAAACCCCAGTTGTTTCCACCCCTGTTGTTCCACCAAGACCTTTAACTGGTCAACAGGATACTCCTGTCCAAATGCGGCACCAGGAGTCCTCTGATTTAATGGAAGACAGTTCCGATACCGAAGCATCTGAGGCTCACACTACCCCTGATCATAAGTCTCCTGATCAGGCTGTCGCTGATGATTTGCCCATCTCCCCATCCGACAATCTCACGTCATACACAGATCTTGTAATGAGAATGGCCCATTCCTTAGGCCTCTCCGTTGTTCTGCAACATCCGCAAGTGATGGATGCGGTCTTTGACATCGTCCAGCTTGATACATCTTCCACTCTGGCATTACCCATGTCCACTGTCCTTTTGCAAGCTACAAAGGCACTATGGGAGAAACCTTCGTCAGCCCCGGTGTCGACAAGACGACTGGACTATATGTACAGAGTCCAAGAGACAGGGACCGAATTCCTATTCTCCCATCCTCAACCAAACTCTGTGGTTGTAACATCCTCTTCAAAATCTAAACAAACACACTCTGCACCTTCAGACAGAGAAAGTAAAAAATTGGATGCCTTTGGCAGACACTTCTATTCCACCGAAGTGTTGGGTGTCAAAACCACTAACTGTCTGGCCTGCATGAGCAGGTATCAATATACTCTCTGGGAAAGGTTCTCCGAACTATTGACCCACCTTCCAGAAGACAAGCTTCAGGCAGCCAGAGTAATTCAAAAGGAGGGCATGGCAAAACAACAAATAAACACTTCAAAGCATGCCCTAGATGCATCTTCAAGGACGATGGCCTCTGCTATAGCACTCCGGGGACATTCCTGGCTCCGCAATACCACTCTCCCTCTGGATACTAGGTCTTATGTTGAAGATCTTTCATTTGACGGCCTTGGCGTCTTCAACACCACTACTGATTCTACACTCCAGGAATTAGACAAGAGCATAAAGGCCTCTCGAGCTCTAGGAGTGTCACCCTCTGTGAGACAACAATACCATCCCCGTACCTGGTCAAGGTCTTGGCAGAGGCGTGCGCCAAGTCGTCAGTCTCCAGACAGACAATGGAGACCGCGTACGTCTTCGGGAGGTCAAAAACCTCCATACCAAAAAACGAGGTTTGGATCCGGGCAACAATCTTCCCGTACCAAACAGATCAAACCCTCCAAGCAGAGTTTTTGACTTCCCTGTCACCGAGTCAGTTTAAACCCGTCTATCACCCTTCCTTCATACTTGGTGTCACATCACCTCGGACGAATGGGTGCTGTCAATCTTGACCCGAGGCTACCATATTCAATTCCACCAGAACCCCATTACTCTGGTCGTCGTCTCCACACCCCCTTCCCCACCTCTCCTGGGAGAGGTGTCCGTCCTTCTGCAAAAGGGAGCCATCGAACAGATACCACCACACCTCCACGGGACAGGATTTTATTCCCGATACTTCACAGTCCCGAAGAGAGATGGAGGCGTTCAACCCATGTTAGATCTAAGGGCACTGAACTGTTTTGTAACCTACCATCGCTTCCGCATGGTGTCCTTACAGCAGATTATGCCACTCCTGCGGAAACACGTCTGGATGGCCACCCTCGACCTCCAAGACGTGTACTTCCACCTCACCATCCACCCCTCCCACCGCCAATACCTACGCTTCGCGATTGGTCAACAGCATTACCAGTATGCAGCCCTGCCAGTTGGCCTGTCCAGCACCCCAAGAGTCTTCACGAAGACTATGATTGTGGTTGCGGCTTTCCTTTGTCTCCAGGGTATCTCCATCTACCCCTATATCGATGATTGGCTTTTGGTAACGCCTTCCCAGAACGCCCTGGTCTCAAACATCACCAAGACACTGGTACTACTAAAGGATCTGGGCCTACAAGTCAATCGAGAAAAGTCTCAATTGAGTTCAGTCCAAAGAATAAATTACATCGGCGCTACTCCACGACATGCATGGCTTACCTGCCTCAAGACAGAGTGACAGACATAATTTCCTTAGCCACCATCGTCCATACCCACCCTTCTGTCATTGCCTTCCAAATCCAAAGGCTACTTGGCCTTATGGCTGCAACTACGTCGGTTGTCGTCTTTGCCAAAATGAAAATGTGTCGTTTACAACTGTGGTTCATCCGGAATTACAACCCAGCGAACAATGCTCACACTGTCATCCTATTCCCCCCTCCCAACATATGAGACTCGTTACTTTGGTGGACTGTCCCTTCCAATATCTTCCAGGGAGCACCCTTCCACCCTCCGTCACCCCAAATCACCCTGACCATGGATGCTTCCCTGTTGGGATGTGCGTCAGGGACAAATGGGATGCGCAGAAGAGGAAGCGACATATAAACTTCCTAGAACTGCTGGCAATACAACATGCTGTCACCAGCTTCCTACCTTTAATCAAGGGAAAATGTGTCACGGTCCTCACGGACAACACCACGGCGCTTTCTTATGTCAACAGAGAGGGAGGCACTGTTTCCCTACGCCTCTGCAACCTTGCCATCCAGTTGTGGGAGCTTTGCATCACCAACAACATTTTCCTCGTAGCCACTCACATTCCCAGACACATGAACGTGCAGGCTGACCATCTAAGTCGAGCAGGACTCAGCCTTCACGAGTGGGGGGTGAACCCAACATACCTCCTCCCACTCTTCCACAAGTGGGGAGCTCCCCAAGTCGATGTCTTTGCCACCAGAAACAACAAAAACTGTCCTCTGTTCTGCAGTCGAGGAGGCAGGGACCCACAATCTCTGGGAGACGGTCTCCTTTACCCTTGGTCCATGGGACTTCTTTACCTGTTCCCTCCCTTACCTCTGCTTCTGAGAGTGGTCC